AAACCACAATGATACATCACCTCACACCGGTCAGAATGGCTGGTATCAAAAAGACAAGTGTTGGGGAGGATGTGGAGGAAAAGGAACACTTCTGCACTGTTGGAAGGAATGTAAATTGGTGCAGCCACTATGGAAATCAGTATGGAAGTTCCTCAAAAGTTAAAAATGGAAATATCATATAATCCAGTAATTCCACTTCTGGGTATTTACCTAAAGAAAATGAAAACACTAATTTAAAAAGATATATGCACCCCTCTGTTTATTGCAACATTATTTACAAAAACCAAGATATGGAAGCAACCCAAGCGTCCATTGAAAGATAAATGAATAAAGATGTGGTGTATACACACACACACACACACGAATATTACTTAGCCATAAAAAAGAATGACATCTTGTCATTCACAACAACACGCATGGAACTAGAAAGTAAGTGAGATAAAGACAAACACCATATGATCTCACTTATCTGTGGAATCTAAAAAAACAAAACAAATGAATAAACAAGCAAAAAACAGAATCAGACTCATAAAAATAGAGACTAACCAGGTGGATGCCAGAGCAGACGGGGATGGAAGGATGAATGAAAGACGTGAAGGGGATTAAGAACTGAACACTTCCATTTATAAAGTCAGTCAGTCACAGGGATGAAAAGTCCAGCATGGGGAATACAGTCCATAGTACTGTAATAATTTTGTATCATGACAGATGGTAACTGTACTTAACCTTGGTGAGCATTTTGTAATGTATGTAATTGTCGAATCACTGTGTTATAAAAAAAAAACTGATGTTAATAGTGTATGTCAACTATACTTCAGTGAAAAAAAAATCCACACATCTGTATTTCTCAGTTGAGCTCTACAGAGCATGTGTTAACAATTTAAAAATTTCCTGTATCTGTTTTTATGCCCCATATTTTATTTCTATTTTAGTTCAGATGGATATTCTTTCTTCTTGATTAAAGCTACTAGAAGTTTGTTCTATATTGTTGCTGCTTTTCAGAGACTCATTTGATATTTTACTCTAATAAATTTCTCTAATCCATTGTGTCCTCTTAATTTGTCATTTCTTTATCCTATTAAGATATCTACTAAGATTACCTTACTCTTTTTTCTAACTTCTTTAAATGAATCTTTTACTTCATTTACTTTCTTTTATAAAAAAGAAAAGCATTTAAGGCTATGAATATAGTATTGACAATATCCTATAATATTTGATATGTAGTGTTATTTCTTAAATGTCATATAATAGAGAATTTGTCTCATCCTTGTTCTGGGTTCTCGAGATAGAGCTTTTAAACCCTTGGAAATTCCCGAGTGGTAAGAGTGTCTTACTCATGAAGGGCCATTGGACCTTACCTGAGTTTATGCTAAGGAGATGACCTGGTTGGGGGCTGGTTATGATGGTAAGACCAACCATGTGATTAGAGGATTGTGGCTTTAAGTTTGAGCCACATGATACCAGCCCAACCTCCCTATCTCTGGGAGATAGGGAAGGGGGAATAGACATTGAATTCATTCACGTGATTCAATCAATCACGCCTATGTAATGAAATTCCAGTAAAAACTGAACACTGAAGCTCTGGTGAGCATCCCGGTTGTTGAGCATATCCATGTGCTGCGGGGGGTGATGCAACCTAATTCCACAGGAAGAGGACACAGAATCTCTGTGTTGGACCCTCATGCTATGTGTTTCTTCACTGACTGGTCTTGATTTGTGTCCTTTAGAATAAAACTGTACTAATAAGTATAGCACTTTCCTGAGTTTTGTGAGTCATTCTAGTGAATTACTGAAACTGAAGGAGGTCCTAGGAGCACCTCTGAATTTGTAGCCAGTTGGTCGGAAGTTCAAGTAACTTAGGAGGTACCCCTAAACTTGCAACTGGCAATGGACATGAGAGGAGTCTTGTTGAGGACTGTGCCCCACACTCTGGGTGGTTAGCATCAGAATTGCAATATAAGTCAAACTAGTCTCTTACGGAATGTTTTGGGCTTTTTGTTGTTCCGCTAAGGTAGAGGAACAGGGGTGTAACCAGCCCAACACATAATCCAATGATCATTTCATCAGTCATGACTCCACTCAAACAAGTCATTGGTTTCAACTTCTTTCTGACTATAGCTTTTTTTTTTTTTTAACCCTGTGTGTATGGGTGCTAATTTGATGGTGAGAGGTAGAAATACAGTTACAGCATATGAAGTTAATCTATAAAATTGCCAATCCAATAAAAAATTATTAATATTCTCTTCTGTGGCCAAAGAAAACCATGTCTGGAAAGTAGATGAAAATCATATTCTATTAAATTGCTATCATTCCTCCACATGAATTATTCAGTGCTTCAGTGTGAGAGTGCTTACACAGTTGGTACTTGGTTGGAATGGCAGAAGCCCCCAGAAAGGTGGGTAGACTAGGATGCCAATAACTCTTCCTATTTTTAGGGGAGGACTTTCTTAAATGAAAATACGGTCAGAGTGAAAACTTAACAGATATTGTGGCAAACACTCCCGAAATCAGGCATACCACCATGGCAAAAAGTGCTACAGAGATGGTCACTAAATGGGGCTAAGGAACCTTTCCAATTAGTCAATATTTCTGAATGGCCCTTTTCTCCAACCTCTTAGTCTGGAGGATTATATCTGAGATGTATGAGAGCCCACTACTGGACATTCCAAAAGGCAAGAACATAGGACTAAAAATCAAAAGAAAAAATATACCCATGGGTGATCCAGATAATGAAGTTGACTAACCAGGGCTTTTAAAACTATGCTTAATACGTTCAAGAACAAAGATTAAAAATAGGGGGGGAATACCCATTTTTCTCTGTTGAAGATGGAGAACTTCAACAGAGAATTAGAATGCATAAAAAAGAAATTGTTATTTTAGGTATAACACTTAAAAAAGGTATAACACTTAAAATTAAGACTTCATAAGATGTGTTTAAAAGCAGATGGAGCACTCACTCAGTTGTGTCCGACTTTTGATTTTGGCCCAGGTCATGATCTGAGGGTCGTGGGGTCAAGCCCCATGTCAGGCTCTGCACTCAGTGGGGAGTCTGCTTGTAATTCTCTCTCTCCCCCTGCCCTTCACCTCCCCCACTCATGGGCTCTCTTTCTCAAACAAACAAATTAAAAAAAAATAAATAATAAATAAAAGCAGACTAGAGGAGCCAAAGGATAAGACTGGTAAGTTAGAGAGCATGTTGACAAAAAAATATCCAAACTGAAGTACAGAAATTTAAAAGAATGGGAAAATTCAGAAAAGAATCTTAGAGATATGTGGGATGCAATAAATGGTCTTAACTTTGTGTGATTCAAGTTCCAGCAGGACAGGAGTGAGGTCAGGGAAAAAGCAATAGTGAAGAGAGAATAAATCAAATTTTCCAAAACTGATGAAAAGATTCAAAGAACTCTGTGAACCCCAAGCACAATAAATACAAAGACAACCACACCAGGGCACAACATACACTGCTGAAAATCAAATAAAAAGAGAAATTCACAAAAATAGCTGGGGTTGAAGAGGGGAATACGCTGCTTTCAAAGGAGCAACAATATCACAACTTATTTCTCAGAGAAAATGATGGAAGCCAAAGACAATGGAACAAAATTTTTAAAATGCTGAAATAAAATTTTTCTATATTAGAATTCTATAGCCAGGGAAAATAATATTTCCAAAATGAAAGGAGACAAAACTCATCAAAATTATACATTAAATATGTGAAACTTTTTTGTATGTCAACTCTTCCTCAATAAAGCTTTAAACATTTCAAAGGAGAATAAATACATTTCTCAGCCAACAAAAAACAGAAGATCTGTCACTAGGAATCATGAATTAAAACAAAAAGGAATTCTTCAAGCAGAAAAAAATAATCCCACAGGGAAACAGGATTTTAGGAAGAAATAAGGAGGAACAGAAAGGGCAAAAATGTAGGTAAATATAAATATTGACATATAAATTAATGATTTGTGGGGGTTAAAACATGTGTAAAATTAAATACATAGGGATAGTAACACAAAATACCAAAGGGTGTTAATGGGGTTAAAGTGTTCTGAGGTTAGCATCCTTGGAGAAGTAGCAAAAAGTAATAATTTTTATACAACTGTGACAAGTTTAGGATGCATGTTGTTATTTCCAAGGTAACCACTAAAAAAGCTGCATAATGCATTACAAGCTCATAAAGAGAAGAAATGGAATAACTGTTTCCTTTCTATTATGTCCCAAATAATTTAAACACTTTCAATAGCAAATTATTCAAGACTCTCAATTTATGAAACGGTTGAGTTCCTATTAGTGTTGCAAAACCAAATGCCTACTAGCATGTAATCTAATTTTTTTTTTTTTTTGGTATTTGATTGAGAGAGAGAGAGAGATATTCCAGGTTTTTAAAGATTTTATTTAATGAGAGAGAGAGAGAGTGTGTGCAGGAGCAGGGCAGAGGGGGAGGGAGAAATAGACTCCCTGCTGAGCAGGGAGACAAATGTGGGGCTCAATCCCAGGACCCCGGGATCATGTCCTGAGCTGAAGGCAGACGCTTAACCAACTGAGCCACCCAGGTGCCCCAATAGTGTTGTTTTTATAAAAGTGCAACTTCATAGGCTCAGACAAAAAGCGCACATAAAAGTTTACTCAATATTTTATTGGAACATGTTAAAGCTTAACTTCGTAGCCACTTTTACTCATTATCACTGAAATCTAACAAACTCCCACTGGAACTTATTTGCCAGTAGAAGGGACAAAACCAGAATGTTCAAGACATTCTAAAATTTTGAAAAAGAATCATGCATCCCATTGACCACCATATGTGCCTCCCAAATGCTGCTCTTCCATAAATAATTCCAGTCCTTGGTACTTCTTTCAATGCTGGGATTATTGATTACTCTGATCCCATATTTCCTTCCTCTTTTCTCTTGATCCCTCACCTATGTATGTCCACAAAGGACTTAACACCATGGAAAGTTCAGGGTAGTTTTGTAGGAATTTTTGCTTTGTAGTCCACTAGTTTCTTAATATTCCCAAAGAGCCACGCCCTCTGGTCCCAGACAAAGCCTACAGAAGTCAATTGGACGGAAATGGCTGCCCCTCTGTCATTCTGTGAAATTCCACCATCCAAGCTGGAGTTGGGGTTGGGCTGATTCCAGGTAAGTCAATTACAGAAGCTGGGACTTGCTTGGTGCCAGCAGCAAACTTTGCTTAGTTTGGTAGTAAATAAAACAAGTCATTCACATAAACTGAAAATTGAGGGTGTAAATGAAGCAGTGGCGATAGAAAGGGATCCTTGGAGACAGTCAGTGTTTCCTTGGTTTGAACTTCAGGGCCACACTGTTGATGCAAAACCTCTGACCACTAGGCCCGGGTCCATCAGGAAACACGTGGCCAAGATGGGCTTCACACTGCAAAGGAGAGAAGCCTCTGTCATTTCTCCACTGAGACAAAGTTCTCTGGACAAACTAGACTGGTGAACCCCACACGGCTGCCCCACTCCGGTGTTTGTGTGGGGAAAAAGTCCATCACAGCAGAATGCACATAGGAAATGAAAGAATGCCGGGGCGCGCCTGGGTGGCTGTTGGTTGAGCGCCCAACTCTTGGTTTTGGCTCAGGTCACGATCTCATGGGTTGCAAGATCGAGCCCCAAGTTGGGCTCTGTGCTCAGTGGGGAGTCTGCTTGGGATTCTTTCCCTCTTCCCCTCCCCCCACTCCCACAGTCATGCAAGTGTGCACTCTCTGTCTCTCTCAAATAAATAAATACATCTTTAAAAAAAAAGAAATGAAAGAATGCAAGGCATGGTAGAGGTAAATAACTATCAGTGAGAATGTGAGCAAGTTATTTAACCTAGGTCTTGATTTATTCATCTATAAAATGGGAACTAACAATTATACCTACTTAAAGCTTTTGTGATGATTAACTGATACAGTGCACATAAAGCATTAATACAATTCCTAGGTAAGTACTCGATAATGTTGCAACCAGTGTATTATTATGGTTTTTTGATGATGATAAGACTACACTATGTTTATCTGCTTGCCTCTGGTGTTTTAAAAAAAAAGTAAGCACCGAAGGATATAAAAATGAGCCTGTTGTCTGGATTTAAGGCACCATCTCCCAGACCCGCGGAAGGAATAATGTGCCAACATTCCCTGCAGCGCCCCTCTGACTTCTGGTGACATGCTGCAGAGTGGGAAGGAGGCGGAGAGAGGCCGAGCACGCTGGGCCTTCCTGCTGTCTGTCCCCATTCAAAACAATGTGCAGGGCCAACTCCTTCTTTCAGACCCTCACTCTGGCCCATCTCTGGAAGGCTAGAAGCAGGAAAGGCTACTTTAGCGTGGCTCAGGAAGGTTCTTTCTCTTCCTTATGGTGCCCAGAATCATGGGAGAGAGGGATCAGAAGCAGCAAGCATAGAAACCCAGCATGCTGTAGTGACAAAAGTACTCCTAGGTTTTAACACCACATAGACTCTCTGCGGCACCTGGGCTGAGGCAGCATCGGGGAAACCCAAACAGACAAAACAACACAAAAAACCCCACCTGCTTGCAGACAACTTCGGTGCGAGTTAATCCTAATGAGGTGTCCACACGTCTCAGGATGCCCGTGTCCCTTTCATCAGAGCCAGACGCCCCGTGCGCCTCCGAAAAGGCAGGCCACCCGGTGCCGGAGCAGTACTTTTTCTCGGAACTGTGGAAGACATTCACCAGCCTGCAGCTGCTAAGACGTTATTAACATACAAAGAGCATTTTATGACCCAACTCATTTTTCTACCCAGCAGGGTCTGACCCCCTCTCTCCTCTGCCAGATCGCCAGGCCAGTTACAGGAGCAATCCATTCCATGGGAACTTCGTCCCCTGCACTTTCACTATTAAACACATCTCATCAGCGTCAAAGGACCTCTTGTTCCTTTGATGCTGAAGGCCTCTCTCTCCGTATCGGACCGGGACTGAAAAACACTAGGGGCTTTGTGACCTGTGATGCGTATTAGGAAACCCAGATCAAATCCAAGGGCTCTAAATGTAGGCAAGGGGGAAACGGAAATGAGACACTCGTGGTCACAGGAGGGCATGAGGGTCTGGGCCCAGCAGCCGGAGGCCTGATGAAACGCCCACTGTCAGGAGCAGGCCCTTCAGGTTACCTGCCTGCCTGTGGGGATTCCAAAGCTGCCTCTGCCATTTCTTAGCTGGGCAACACTGGGCAGGCTCCGTACCCCCTCCAGGCCTCATCTGTCACTGCCAGTGCAGGGACCCTTCTGGGCAAGTCCCACAGGAGCTAATGACGCCGAGGTGGAGACGGCCAGAGGGGCCGACCAGAAGAGTGGGAGGGCAACAAGCGAATCCACTCGCCACAGAACCACTCTCCACGTGCTCTGAAGGTGAGCTCCCTCAAATGGCACCAGGAAAATAGAGTGAAAGTTTTTCAATGGCAGGGAGACAGCTCTCTCTCTAAGGAAGAGGGAGAGAAATGCATTGTAAACTCTGCAAAAAACAAAAAACAAAACAAAACAAAAAACCCAAAAAGCTGAGCAAAGAGAAGGAAAAGTGGCAAATAATCAAATCCCAAGACTGTGAACACAGAAGGAAGCTCACTCAGTTTAGTGCACAAACCCCAGCAGAAAGTCTAGGGTAATGTAGTCATTCTCAAACGTTTTCATCTCAAGACTGCTTTATACTAAAAAATTACTGAGGATCTCTTCTTTACATGAATCATGTGTATCAATGCTTAACAAAATTAGAAATTATAACAGAATTTAAAAATATTTCTACGTTATTTTTTAAAATAATAAATTCATTACCTGGTCGCATAAATAACCTATTCTTCTGACAGATAACTCTATTTTCCAAAATGAAACAAACATTTAATAGTGAGAAGAGTTGCACTGTTTTACAATTCTGCAAGTCTCTTTAACGTCTAGCTTAAAAAAGGAAAGACCATTGACTCTTCATATGTGCTTCTACATTCAATCTACTGCAATCTTATTTTGACTGAAGTATAGGAAGATATGGCCTCGTGGGCAGGCAGTTAGAAAAGAGAGGGCCTTGTAGATCCCCGAAAAAGGTCCTAGGAACTCCCGGGGTCCTCAGACCAGGATTTTAGAACTTTGAGGAATAAGGGCCTTGACTTCCAACAGGTTTGCGCATGAATCTGGGCTCTGATACATCTGTGTGACCGTGGCCAGTTATTTACTCTTTTAAAGCCTCAGTGCCTTAATGGGTAGAACTGTAATGGCCTTATTACCTCACAAAGCTGCTGAGAGGGTTACCTGACATACTTTCTAGGTACAGTGTATTTAGCACAGTGTCAGACATATGGTACGTAAGTCAGTAGCTACAATGTTTTTTAAACATCATTACTATTAATAACAGATACCCATGAAATTTGAGCAGCCGTGGGTCGTTTGTTTTGCAACCCTTTTTGAAAGGGTTCAAAACTATTCATCCGAGCTACCCTGGCCCAGGGAAAAACATTTTAAGTGTCTTTTTATCACAGCCTTTCCACCCTTAATGTTACATGTAACTAGTGATCGTTAAAGGCATTTTGATGGAGAATTATGAATATAATAAATTTTTTAATGAATGAATCTAAGGCTAATAAAAAGTCATTTAAAATGTTTATGGGAAACAATAAATCTTTATTGATGCAATATACAGAATCTGGAGATTTTACCAGGGAATATGAGAGGCCCATCATACATAATTTAAGAGTGGAAATCTAACTTTAAGGCCAGTTTGAAGTTCCAATATACATAGTTAAATGATTAGCAGATTATAAGGCTCTCCCTTGGAAAACTAAAACCATACTGGATCATCTCTTTTCATATACACTTAGAGGTGGGTTTTTTTTAGTGTTTTTTTTTGCTGTTGTTCTTATGTGTTTGTGTGTTATGTGTTTGCATGTTTGTTATATGGTTATTTGCATTGATTTTTCTTCATTTCTGGAAATTCTACAGCTCCCAAACCAACAGCAGAGGCACGTGGTGAGAATTGCCAACTCTATAACATCTTAAAGGAATTTCCATTCGTTTGGAGGAATGGGAACACACAAAAGGTTTTTCACCAATGTTACTTAGTTCCTTATAACATGCAGGACATCCGGATGTTATGTAAAAAAAGGTAAGTAATATCAGGCTCTCAGATTCCCTCTATTCTGAGGAGATGTAGGAGCATGAGATATAATAAAGCAACAGACTGGAGTCCCCAGGGGAGCGATAACATCCTAAGAGTGTTCCTGACCTGGAAACCCTGGATCAGAGGCCTCTGGTTCGGAGAGGAGGTGTGTCTCCCGGAACACGCACCCTGGCGGCCGGGTGTGAAAGCAGCGTTGCAGGCAGCAGGCGGCCCAGCGGCCCGGAGGCAGCGGTCCCACACCTACCTGACTCTTCCGTTCGCCTCATTTTGACTCTACCTATACAAGCATTTGAAGGAACGATAACTTTTTCTCCAGCCCTGCTCGCTATTATTAAGGCCGGAGACTGGGATGGCGGGGAGAGAGGGGAATGAGATGTAAAACAAGAATATCTTCCTAAGACTATCCTCTTGAATGGGAAGCATGCTCAGGAATATAATCTCCACTTACGGACCCTCATTAACTAGCACACATTCACAAGAATTCCTCATTATCTAAGATTTACTCATAGAGATAGCCTGAAGAAGGATCTATCTCTACGGAGAACTGTTGCTCACGTGTACTGAGTGCTTGGCATGTGCCAGGCACGGCACGGGGTGCTTTTGCATGCATTACCTCGTAACTCAGTTGATCCTCTCACAGGTTTCTGAAGTCATGCGACCACGTTACAGGTGAGGAAATCAAGGCATGGACTGGTTAAGAGACTTGCCCAAGGTCACACAGCAATGGAGCCGCACGATGTATACCCAGGCACCCTAGCCACTCTCCTATACCATCTCTCCTATAAACAAATACATCTTTAAGAAGAGTACATTCTGGAACATAAGAGATTCTTACAAATATATTCTTATTTCTCCCAGTCTCAGTTACAGTAGCAACAGCAGTAGCAGGAAAGTGGAACAGAAACTTACTCCAAAGTCCCTAAGAAAAGAAAATAGAAACTTTTGAACCAAAACTAAATGATTAAAAAAGAAACAAGTCAGGCTGGTGAACTGGCAGCTCAGCACAATGGCCTTTGGTAAACGGGCTTTGGAGAATCGGCTGGTTCTCCTGCTAGTCTTGGCTGCTTCACTATCTCCATGACCTGCGGTTGGTCACTCAACTTCCTTAATTTGGACTAGCATTGTACTAATACAGAAGCCACTGGTCACATGTGGGCTTTTAGGTTTAAGTTAGTTAAAATTGAATAAAATTAAAGATTCATCTTCAAGCAGCATTTTGAGTCCTCAAGAGCCATATGTGGCTACCATATTGGATAGAGCAGATACAGAACATTTCCATGATCACAGAATTCTCTACTGGACAAAGCTTTGCGCTCTGGTCTCAGGTCCCACCCTGCTCCAGCATTCTGAGACTCCATGACTGACTGCTGTGGTGAGGGATGGTGGGCACTAGGTAGGAAAAGGTCTCAACTTTGCTAGTGCAGAAACCGGAACACCAATACAGTCAAAAACTGAAGAATGCAAATTAGAAGAATGCTCTTACAAGGGTGACTTCCCATCTTTTGTTTTCACAGTCCAAAGACAGAAAAGAACATCCATCTGGTTACCACAGTGTAACAAGGCGGTCCTTTACATCTTCACATGGCACACCTTTTTTGACTAAGAGCAGGTTGGCCACCTCAAGGTCCTATTTCTCCTCAACAGAACCAAATGTCAAGGAATAACTAATGTCTCAGAAATATGTGTCCCGCATTTTACTTTGTTAAGATTAACCTGCTTCTTTTAGTTTTCCCCAGGCCATCCCGGGCCGACCGCTACCTAGATGTCTCCTCACCAGCCACTGACATAGCGAACGAATCTGAGCAAAGACCTGCCCTTCTGTAAGCATGAAGGGAAATCAATCCTAATTGTTCCTCATTCTTGCAGGCAGGGACTGGCTTTCCAAATTCAGCCCACATTAGCAGCCAGCCCAAGAAAGCCCAGTCTCCTCAAAGCCCAGAGGATGTAATGAAGCGCTGCCTAATGGAAGATTCACAGAGCTGGCTTGATTTATATTTTATTCTAAACCAATTTAGAGTTGATGCAGAAGAAAGGAAAATATCTTTGAAGTTCTGAAAACAGGACTTCAAAGATGTTTTCCTTTCTTCTTCATCGAATCTACTTTTTTTAGACTGTTTCCGGCATGTCTAAACAAAAAAGCCTTTGTTGAGAGATTTCAGATCCTGATTGACTTAAAAGAGGCTTTGAAATCAAGGGACAATTAAATTTACTTTTAGCTATATAGAAGAGGGCATGGTATTCACTACTGTCAAGCACTGTGGGGAATCTATCCTCATAAAATTCTACATTTCCCAAATTAAATTATAAACCCATTTTCCCTTGGAGAGATATAGTTTTAATCACATGGCCAAGCAAATACCATTATGGTTTAGATTTCTTTAAATACTTTCCCAGGAAAATATTCTAATAGCATTATCTTAAGGTGCCTACGAAGTTTTATTTGTTTGCTATTTCTCAGGGATACAGGAAGAAAGAATATAGGCTAAGAAGTCTCGTTAACTGCCCTAAATGCTGGAAATAATCAAGACGGGCAAGTATTTTATAGAAATAGCTCTCCTGATAGCAGCCATGCCAAATGAGGAAGGCAATTAAAAACAACACGGGCATGTATTTATCCCAGGCTTCGAATGAGACAGAGCCGTAAGAAGTCTGGAGGTCCGTTCTCCTTCAGTACCTCTCTCGATCCTTACCTGAAGAGTGGGCTGTCACAGCACACACAGTGATACATTCCTGATTCCTTGTTATTCAGATAGACCCCACTGAAAGGCTGAAAGTAAATTAGACATATCAGGTATAGGCTTCTTATAACACCAGCAGGAGATGATACAGCAGATTTAAATCCAAGATTCAGTCCCCAAATAAAGGAATTTTTGTACTAATTGGACAAAGTGTAAATATCATCGGAGAGGAAATCATAACCCGCCCAATGAAGCAGCCTTGCAGGCTTATCACAACCCAGCCTGAGTGCCAAATATTCAAATTATGACATTAATAATGCTTTGTATTTATACAGCACCTTTCATCCAAGAACATCAAAGTCCATGAAAAAGTGAGAGAACAGTCCTCTGGATTGTGTAAGATTTCAGTCTTCATGTCAAAAGAGCTAATACAATAGGAATCCAGTCCACTGTCTAAAACACTGTGAAATCCCCAATTAAAGATAGACTATAAATACATAAAAAGCATAGCTCTGTGGGCTGTGGCTGTGCCTTTAATATGCCTCACGTCGTGGTGTTTAGGACACAGCATACTTAATAAATGTTTAAATAATGAGTTAGACTATCCCAGTACCGAAGTTACTACTTAGATGAAATTACTTCATTAACTGTGGCTTAAAGAGTCTGTAGGCTTTCAAAGGTCTCCCAAGAAGAACACAGGAGACTTGAGGCAATGAGTCTGCCAAGTCAGTACCTTTCAAAATGCTATTTTGAAAACTGGATTTCATTGTTAAAAAAGGAACAAAGATCTTCTTGCCCAATTCCTTTTGTTAAAGTAAATTAAAAGGAAAAAATAAAACCCAATAAACCAACCACGGAAGATCCATAACCAGAGCCTGGTGGCAAGCACTATCCCATTTCACGGGATGAAAGAGAAGTCAATGCACAGAATGGGTCACCAAGTCACAGAACTGACTTAGGAAATAAGCTGGACTCGTCTGCCCTTTCTAGATTCCCCAACTCAACCAATTCACAGGTCAAACATTCAAATTCCCTATAGTAGTAGTAACAGCACATTTTCAGCAAGCCACATAATGGACAATTTTAAAATAACCTACTGAGCCTACCATCTGGGCACACTTGGACGTTTTCCCTCTTTAAAGACTCTAAACTTAGCTGCAGAAATCTGAACAGTAGTAAGCTGATCTTTTTATGGCCTGTCCCCCTGCATGCCGGCTCCCAACCTTGGCACAGATAGGCATGTGCCATGAAGTTTCACACCCCTCCCACCTGAGCTGACAAGACACATGTGCCAAAAGGCTACCTGTCCTGAGGCTGATCTGGAAAGCCTACTCACAGGATCCAGACAGTGTGATCAAAATCAAAATATAATTTTGTCATTGCAAAAAAAAGGTGAACAGAGGAAGTAACAGGAAACAGGTATCACAGTAAAAAAAATAAAATAAAAAGAAATCCTTAGCTGAGGCATTTTTATGAAGTGACATCTATCCACTGCCTCCTAGACTGATTTCCTGATGTCTCCCTCCTCCTCCCTCAATTCTGTAGAAGTCCTATCATTTATTTAGAGCCAAACTCAACTTCTATCTCAATTGTTCATTCTCGTATTTACTTGAAAACCTGGTATGTACCCAGTGCTGGTCTGGATGCTAAGGTTACAGAGATGGGGGGAAAAACCAGGAACTGAACTGGCCAGCACCCTAATCTTGGACTTCCCAGCCTCCGGAACTGTGAGAAATAAATGTCTGTTGCTTAAGCCCCTTAGTCTGTGATATCCTGCTACAGTGGCCCAAAGGCAGTCTGTCTGGACCAATGGGACCTCTCCTTTGATCTGGTCAATACAACATACCTGTTGGAAACAGACGGCACACCCAAAGGGATGATTTGCAGATAATTTCATACAGAACGATTTACAAAGGTGGGGACAAGGCCAGTGGAAACTAGCAAGGGAGGGTGAAGCACTGGGAGAGCTCTGAGAACACCCCACCCCAACTAGGCCCGTGGGACAAAGGAAGAGGCAGTTACCAGAGCCTGTAGGTGAGGGCAGCCTGCAGGAGCTACAGCCTGCACTAGAGGACCCTGGATCCCATTTCTCTGTTGTGTCCTCTGACCTTGCTAGCATCATCCACTGGCCAAACTTGAGCAGTAGTCAGAAGGGAAGGGAGCATGTTATTCTTCCCAGAGCAGAGTGAAGCATGTGGAGAGCAGATCTGTAGGGGACAGAGAGGAAGGCCTGCAGGAAACCGGCCTTCTACTGATATTTGACTTTTAGCTGTTGTGCAACCAGGCTATAAACTCCTTTGTTGTGTCTAGTAGAGTGCACGTTTTTATTGCTGCCCAATCAAAACACGTTCAACTGAATTCTTAAGTTTGAGTCACCAAACAGAAAGCTGAGATGTGTTACTTCCCTTTCGTTAGCCAGGCTTACAGTTGGTTCTGCAATATTCTAAAAAGTTACATGTGGAAATGGATCAACTGAAAGGGATTTATAACATTACTTAAAATAATGGATGATGCTCATTTTGTAAAATGGCCAAATGCACAGAGTATACTGCACCATCTGTTTGCGAATCCCACAGATTTATTCTCCTCAACATCTGTCAGCTCATCTCCGGGCTCTGTACATATACCAAACCCCGCCTGGCTGTGTCCCTGAGAAAGGGCTGGCTTAAATATCCTGGGATACACCCAACTGCACACAGAGCATCACACGTGGCTCCCCCAACCATTTGCAATAAATGACTGTGTCTCTTTCCCCATGAAGGATTATTAAAATCCCATCCACAGGATGTTTTAAAAAATACCAGTACAAGACTCTGTTGGGATCTGCTGACCTAACGACTTCAGCATCAGAGAAGCTGAGGGTTCACCATGATGATAAGGCCATGTGCACATGGACAGCTGTCTGGACTTTGCAGGGACTGCTGACGAAAAGATATATATACTCTACAACTTTGCAAAACCACCGTGGTCCACTCCGTGGGGTCTGCTTCACAAATGAAAATGTCTAATAACCACGTTCAACAGCTCTATTCCAAGGGTTATATTTGGGTCTAAGACAGACGACTTGTGAAGAAACACTGTGTTGGGAAAACAGAACTATAATGAGGAACCACTGAGGACAATTCCCTCCGGAAATGAACGGAAGCTGAGCTTGTTGAATGCCATTTAAATAATGTTTTCGCCTCTCAGCATGCATTCATGCAGTACTCACAAAAATTTACTCTCTGAGTGCAGACTCTAGCCGGGCACGATGTTAGGTGCCAGGACTGTCCCAACAATGGCAAATGCTCTAAAGGGAGAGTGCTGGGAAAAGCAAGCCCGGCTTGGGGCCGAGCACATGGGATTGGAGCTGAGGGAGGAGGTATGTCTGAATGAACAGGGCGAGGTGAGGGGAGAGAAGAAGGTCGCAGCAGTCGAGGGCCTTAGGCACAAGGGAGCCCAGGGTGTCTGAGAGCTGAAAGAAGGGCAGTGTAGTCGAAGTGTGGAGATAAAGAAGAAAAACAGCCAGACTGAGGACAGGGGCAGAAGGCAGGGGGCAGAGTCGGTAGGGCTTAATAAGCCGTTTGTAAACTTTTTTCTCTACCTTGGAAGTAGTGGGAAGCCACTGAGGGTTTGTTAGCAGTGCAGGGATGTGGTTGGATTTGTGTTTTTTAGATCTCTTCTGCCTTTTTTTTTTTAATATTTTATTTATTTGACACACACAGAGAGAGAGAGAGAGAGTGCACAAGGCACAAGCGGGGGGAGCGGGAGAAGGAGAAGCAGGCTCCCTGTTAAGCAGGGACCCTGATGCACCAGGATCCTGGGATCATGGCCTGAGCCAAAGGCAAACGCTTAACCGCTTAACTGCTTAACCGACTGAGCCACCCAGGCACTCCTCTTTGGCAGCCTCGGAGAGAATGGCAGCCAGAACAGCGTGAGGCTGCCACACGCCGTCCACCCAGCAAAAGGCGGGGGGAGACCTGGGGCAGCGTGGAGGCAGGATCGGGCAAGAGAAGCAGAGCAACTGGAAGGTTACTGAGGGGGCAGAAGAGGTGGGGAGGCAAGGGAGGGGAGGCATCTGGGGCCTCCTACCAGTGGATGGGTGGTGGTGCCCGAGAGGGAGGAGCACGCAGGAGGACCAGACTGGCAGAGCAGATGCGGGTGAGTGGGCTTCTGGAGCTACATCTCTCCCAACCCGCCCTCCCGCCATCCCGGACCCACCCAATCGCAAAACTGTCATGGGCGCAGCTTACCGCTTCGGTTCCTTTTTGTCTCGTAACATAGAACTGCTCTGGAGTCAGCTTCTTTTGCCATTCACTCTTGGTGAGAGACGGCCCATGCTTTGGGAGAGACCCTGTGTGGTTCAAGAGGAATTTTTTAAAAATTAAAACAAAAAGGCACAACGACGTTTTTTCTTCAGCTTTTCTCCTGAAGTGCCTGACCCCCCAGCAGAACAAGGCCGTGCCCTCCCTCTCCTTCATCTTCCTTCTTCACAGGGACCAGAAAGCCCCAGTACAAAATGCTTCCATTTGACTCATTAGTTTAACAAGAAAGGAGCAGCCAGCAGCCAGCCGGTTTTCCAGTCCCACTGGGGTACAGAAGCTAAAGAGGCAGCTCAAATATGAAATAATGCAGAATAAATTCTCCTCAGGTACCCGGGGGGTAGAAATTGATCCTTCTTCTATGACTACGTTCAGAGGAGCATTTCCCGTCAGGATACAGCTGGGAGTAGCTGAGTGATTGGAGAGGAAAGAACCTTGAGCTAGTGGGTTATTAAACTCTTCTCCTTCACTGGTTTATAAAAATCTCTCTGATTTTGATTGTCAGTGGAGGTCTTTATTAAAAAATCTTCTTGTGTGGAAAAAAGAAGAGACTAGCCGATGCCCCTGAAAGGAAACGGAGACCTACCAGAATCTATTCTTATTCTTCAGTCTTACTACTTTTACTCCAGTGAGTGTAAACAAAGCAAGTAGGACAATACTCCTTTTAGCCAAAGGGGAATAGGAAGCCTGACGTATATAATCAGTGTTTCAATCATCCAACACTAAGAATTGGAAAGGATTTTATAATCTGTCCACCTCGACTTACAAATGAGCAAACAGAGGCCTGGAGGCTTAGTAACCTGATCACAGGAACGCAGGTGAAAGGTCAGACACTCGTGGTATCACCACCAAATATGAAACATGTCCGAAAATCATATCTGAGATTCATTTTTGGTTACCAAAAGTCCTAAATTATCTTTCAGGTAAGAAAAGACTACTGTCTTCATTGCTAGCTCACAATACTATACAATATGGTGTGTTCCATATTGTATATTGTTGATTGCTTATGGTTGTTTACATTTTATTAAAAGGTTTTTAATCTGTTAAATATATTAAAAGTTGTCCTTTCTTAAATACTTTTTACAAGGCTATGGGGATTTCTTGTTTACTCTGGAAATGCACCTCTGAAATTGCCTATGAAAATATAGCTCAGGTATACACAATTTTTCTGGAACTCATTTCTTGGGTAGCAAAGCAGAATGTATTTATGTGACAATTATTGCTGCTCAGTGGCTTTCAGAGTTACCAGGCAGAATGCCAAGTAATAAACGGACAAGGAATGATAAACCTTTTATTTTTATTTTTTAAAAAGATTTTATTTATTTATTTGACAGAGAGAGAGAACGAGACAGCACAAGGCGGGGGTGGGGGGGGCGGGGAATGGCAGAGGGAGAAGGAGAAGCAGGCAGCAGTCTCCCCTCCAAGCAGGAAGCCCGATGTGGGACTCGATCCCAGGACCCTGGGATCATGACCTGAGCCGAAGGCAGACACTTAACTGACTGAGCCACGCAGGTGCCCAGAATGATAAACCTTTTAAAAAATCTTTATAATCACTAAAATAGTAAGTGACTCAAGCAAGAATCATCAGGGAATTCTAAAACCCTGGGTGGGAAACTGCTGAAGAATGGAAGAGTCACACATTTTCAAAATATTATTAATTACAAAGGAAGAAAATATACCTTTACAATGGAAAAATGTACAAGTCACCACCTTAACCAAGCACGCCAAGTAAGCATGACCAACAGTGGGGCAAGCCGACGTCGCGTGCCTCTGGGTGTGACGCCCTGAAGACACAGCACCCTCCCTCCCCCGCACTGCACTTCATCCATTCTCAGAGAGTCCACTGAGGACTTCTCGGTAAAACCTAGAACACCTCATCCTTCTCTCTCACTTCTCCATAGTATTGACACTTGACATTCTTCTGTGGGAGCTTTTATTTCCCTTGGCCTCCATGGTGCCCAATACTCTTGTCTCTCCTGTTATTCCCTTCCAGCGTCCTTCCTCAGCCCCACTTCTTCTAGCCATCCCTGGAATACTGGTGGTTTTCAGATGAATCTATCGTCCTAGGCGCTTCTATCACCACACCACACCTGCCCCTTGGGTGATTTTATCCAATGAGTAGCTTACAGTACCATCCACATGATGAGACTCCCAAATCTATTTTACCCTCCATCCTAGATCTCTGCTGAGTTCTAGATCCATATATAACCACACCTGGAGACCTCCACGAGGATGTCCCGTTTCAAACACCACACACAGAAGGACATCGTGTATCTCCCCTGCCCCAACCCAAATCTGCCCCTCCTCTCATGTGTTCTCATTGACCCCATGTTTCAAATCAGAATGCCAGGCCATCATACACGACTCTTCCCTTTTCCTTGCCCCAAGCCCTGTTGCTTCTACTTCCTAAATAACTCTAGGATCTGCTCATTCTCACATATCGGCCACTACCTTGGATCAGGCCACCATTAACTCCAGTATAGATGATCACAAAAGTCTCCTAATTTTTATGCTCTCCCCTATTTGCACCACTTCTTTTTTTCTCACTGCCCAAACTGTTCAATGTTGTCACACTGAAATGAGAAAACATGCCATGTGAATATCTAGGAGAAGAGCGCGTAGGCAAGAGAAAAAACTAGTTGGGTGTGCCTGGTATGTTTGATGAATAGCAGGAAGGCCAGGGGGAATGGGTGAAGTGAGCAGGAAAGTTATTAGAAGTGAGAGCAGAAAGCTAAAGGGGGTGGGGGCAGACCAACGAGGGTCTTGAAGGCTACCCTAAGGATGGTGGCTTTTATTCTAAGTGCGGAAGTCACTGGAAGGTAAGCAGAGGCATGACATGACCTAGCATATTTAAAAGGATTCCTGGCTGATATACTAAAAGAAACTGAAGGAAGCCAAAGGTTGCAGCAGGGCACCCAGGACAGAGGGCACTTTAACAACCTGGCTGAGAGATGGAAGAGTTCTGCGTCAGGGTGGTGGCAGTAGTCAAGCTTAGAGGGGTCACACACCAGACGTATTCTGATGGCAGAGCTGGAGGATTTGCTGACAGAGCGGATGTGAAGTACGTGAAAGAACGCGGTCAAGGGGCACTACTCCAAGTTTCTTGGTCTGAGCAGTAGAAGATGGGGAAGCCTACAGGAGGAACAGGTTTGGAGGCTTGTTAATAAAAATTCAGTATTTTCAAAATTCAGTGTTCAGTTCAATATTCAAATGGAGATGTCAAGTAGGCAGTTGGATACATAGATTTAGAAACTGGGGAGAAGTCCAAGGTGGAGATATAAATTTGGGACTCCTCGGTGTTGCGATGTTATTTAAAGCCATCAGCCTGGAAGATTCCCAAGTCAAAGACTGTCGAGAGAACAGAGAGGCCCAAGGGCTGGACTTGGAGGGATTCCAAGAAACACAGGTTGAGGAGATGGGGACAAGCAGAGAGGCAGGAAGAATACTGCAAGAATGTGGTGTCCTAGACAGAGATGACTAATAATTATTCATTGGGTTTAGCAATAGTGTGTGTGTGTGTGTGCTGAAAAAGCAGTTTAGGTGGAGGAGTGGGTGTGTGTGTGTGTGTGAATCTGGCTAGAACAGATTTGATACAGAATAGGAAGAAGGAAAGGGAGACAGTGCAAACAGGTAAGTCCTTTCAGGAGTTCCGGAGGCAGCTGGAAGGGGAAGTGAGGTCAAGAGCATTTTTTAGGATGAGAAAGATCACAGTATTCTAGTAGGCTGCTGGGAATGATCCAGTGAAGAGGATAAATTGATCATTTAGGAGAAAAAGGCAAGAGCTGTGGAGCTGTTCTTGAGCTTGACCTTGGGTAGATGAAATATGGGAGACCAGTTAAATTGTGAAAATTTTATTGACTGTGTAAGCTTTAGATAACTATCAAGGTAACAATAGAAGAGTTTTACAAAGCAATGCCGGTTTAACCACCAGCTGAGTGGTGGGAACACTGTGAAATCTTTTCAGGCTGACTTAGCAGGGAAAGGTGTTTTTGCTGTTTTAACAGCAAGTGGGAGAGGCACCTGGCTGGCTCAGTTGGTCAGACTCTTGACCTCAGCTCAGGTCTCGACCAGGTCGTGAGTTCAAGCCCTGCATTGGGCTCCACGGCAAGTAGGATTAGAACTGGTTTTAATGGATGTGAACTATGTGTTGAATCATGAGGGAAGTGGAAGGCATTCCATTTTAGGCACTTTAAAAGACCGAGAGATGTGTATATTTTGTAAGCCTTCAACAAAGGGCAAGATCCAAAATTTGGCCAGAGCCAATGTTGTCAGCATGACCTAAGCTGGGATCGGTCACACAGAGGCCACTTCATACAGTGAAAAAAAGGAAGGCAAGGGCATGAGCAGGATTTGCTAGTAGGATTTGATTCCTCCTCCCAGAATCTAAACTGGTCTTGAGGGGAATGTGCGTAACCCGAACCCTGGCTATCACTGACATCTGTTAAGGAAAGGGCAACAGCGCACCATGATAAAACACTTTCCTTACCCTGCAAGTACCCGGCCTGCCATGTCACTCCACCTACATTCTTGGCTTTGGCAAAGATCTTGCCTTATTTCTACGGATTTCTAAGAGGAAAACTGACTCTTGGTACGCAGATTGGTAATTATAATCTGGAAAGCTGCTATTATCTTCCCTTCCCCTTTTGGGGAGGAAGTGGAATGGATTAGTGGAAAAAAACAAACAAACTGGATTGTCTCCTAGAAGCATTGTCCTTAGTGTCTTTCCACATGCAATACGATACAACAGTTGACACGAGAAAGTGGAAATTCCAGAAGGGCTAAAATTCAGTGGGACTCCCACACTTCAGCTTTGAACCTAAAGTCTGAGTCCCAGATGAGACCCCAGCTCCCTCTCCAACTGTTCTGTATTTTACTATACCTATTAGAATGACTACTTGTTTTCAGATACTCCCCTTCTCCCTCTTTTATTTTTTAGCTTAAAATTTAAAACTAATACTTAAATTGTTAGATGGAAGAATTACCCCTTCATCTAAATCAGAAAGTACATTTTTCATGGCTCCGCTAATCCTTATCAGTATGTACCTTTTACACTGTGTGCATGAAAGATTTCATAGGTGGGTAACGATGTTCAGACTAGTTGCTCTTTGAGCACCAACTGTGCAAAATTTAACTGTAAATCTGCCAGCCTGGAAGACTCTGTCAAGAGAAGAAAACTCTGCCTCGATAGCAAAATGACCAGTAGTCAGCTAGGTGCCCTCAGGTCAGCATATATGTGGTCTGCATCACTTACAGAGATTTCTGTAACCATGGTGTTATGGGCTGAACCGTGTCCTCCCAAAATTCATATGTTGAAGTCCTACACCTCAGTACCTCAGAATGCAACTATATTTGGTGATATGGCCTTTAAAGAGATAAGTAAGGTCAAACGAGTTTATATGGGTAGGCCTTAATCTATTTGGCTGTATCTTGGAGATGGGACCTTTAAAGAGGTGATTATGTTAAAACGGGGCCATAAGGATGGACCCAATCTGACCAGTCTCCTTATATGAAGAGGAAGAGACTCTAGGGATGCATGAGCCGAGAAATGGCCATCTGCAAACCAGAGAGGCCCCAGGAGAAACCAACCCTGCTGATACTTTGATCTTGAACTTCCAGCCTCCAGAATGATGAGAAAATAAATTTCTGTGTTTCAACCTTCCAGCCGGTGGTGTTTTGTTGTGGCTGTTCCAGCCAACTAATATACCATGCTTTAGGAAACTAAATTCTGAATGAAAATTGCATCACGAGTAAATTCTGCATGGTTTTACCAAACAGCAATTTGGAACCTGTACATACAACACACAAGTGAGAATTTAGGAATGAGTAAGGTCACTTGGCCAGCAGTGGCCAGAGAGGATTCTGCATTGGTCCTCCCATCCTTTTGTGCGTGACTGAGGTGTTTTCTGTTCTCAACCCACATCATCTGCACCTTGAGTTGGTCATTTTGGGGCTGCATGTCTTCCAGATTCCTTCTGCATTCTCTTGCTATCTTCACTATCAAAAGACTTGGGTGCTCTGCTATTGTACTAGATAGCTACACAGCTTTCCTTTGAACTAGGCTTTGAGAAACTCAGAGTCCTTTGGGTTCCTTTCTCTCTTTGTGCTGTGATTTGCACAGGCCGTCTTTCTTCTTGGTCATGTGTTTCCTGAGTTGGGCTTACATCTTCTCATCTTTAAAGAACACCCTCTCTTGGTCATATGGTCACCTACTGGTTACCTCCTTCTGGTTTTGCTAACCTTTCTGGCCACAGCTGCTATACTGCCAAGTGTCACACACAAACAAGCCTTGTTTCAATGAATACTTGTTGATACTAACAGAATCTATTACAAACTGGCACAGAACGAATCCCTAACCCACTCTAATTTGCAGACTAGTCTTCTTTCCCACCCCAGTGACTGGACTGGTTGAAGCAATGCTCAGGATGGATTCCTAGCCAAGTATTTCTGGAGTGTTTTCCTGAAACACCAGTTTTCTCCAGGATACTTCTTACTTTCCTCTTTCAGTCTCAACTGAGAGACAGAGCATTGACTTTGCTCTTGTTAATCTTGACGACAAAATCATAGGGGTGGTACCTCTTGCATATCAGAAATCTTAGTGCTGTGGAACTGTCCTCCATCACTATCAACATCTTATTGTTTCTCTTTCAACCTTCCCTAAGTCTATAACATAGGTTAAATGTAGCTGCGCTTTTGTCCTTTCCATTTATTTATGTAATTATAATTAACATTTATTGTATGCTTACTAAGTGCCAATCATTGTGATGAAGCATTTTAATTTTTTTTCATTTATTCTGTACAACCCTATTATTATCATTATTCCTATTCTATAGAAGAAAAAACAGGTTTAAGCTTACCAAGTTTAGGACATGCCCAAGTTTAGAACGTGCCCAAAGACACAGAGCCAGTAAGTGGCACTGTCAACACCAAAGCGCTTAGCCACCAACTATTACCTGTATAATTTTTAATGGGTGCCTAATAGTTTGCTGAACTGAACTTTTCTGGCTTACTTAAGCATTCTTTAACTGATGGACATTTGGGTTATAGCCAGTTTCTGGTTCTTAAGAGTAGTGCTGTTAAAAACATCTTTGTACACACAGTTTCGTTCTTTTGAATTAGTTCCTTAGAATAAGGAAGGGAGACACCCCGGGGAGGGGGTGTCTGATAAGTTACACAGCTCCTGTTATGTACTGGAGTTTGGCCAGATTTTAAATGCTGCTGAAGAACTTCAGATCCTAAGGCAATTCATTAGGCTATTTCTGACAACACCAGTACAAACATAAAGGACAAGTTTCCACTGAAACCACTATCCTATAAAGGGGAATGAGGAGAGCTCCAGCCCACAAGTATGATGTTTCCATCACCTGTGGTTCTCAGAAAACCAATGCTTGGCACACAGTAGGTATGCAACAAATATCATCAGACTGGCTGACTAGGACACCAAGAGGTGCTAAAGGCCATGACTGGAAGTCATATTGGATCAGCCACTACTCCACACTGCCTGTGCTTTTATTTATTTAAAACTACATTTTGAAAACTTCAGGGGATAAAAAGAAGTCCAAGTGACTGGACACATTTTCAGAGGAGATAGGTATCTTTACATTTCTTCAATGGCTACATAACACAATCGGATTCAGAGATGGGACAGCGGGGCAGTTGCCCATGAAGCCAAAGCACAGGGAGCACTAAATTACCCTGAAATATATCTGAAATACAGGGCCGTTGACACAGGTCTCCACAGGTGACTCCACACTAAAAGGTGAAAGGCAAATGTGCCACAGTCCAACAGAGGAGCCAAAGGCATTTCGAAGAAACACAGACACACAGACACACACACACACACACTTCCCTGGTCTGTCTCGTAGCCAATGACGAACAATGATTATCAGTCTAAAGGGGAACTAGTTATTAGCCCACACGTCTCCCTGGGTCCGGGACACACACATAGAAACAGCAGGGCAGGAAGCAAATCCACAGGAATCCAAAGTCTGAACTGCTTGCTTCTCACCTAGGAAAAGAAGCACGCAGAATTTAAGAGGGGGACAGTGTGAAAGACCACAGGCCATTACAGGAGGGAGCGCGCGGTGTCGGGTCGCTGACCCAACCACCGCGACAGTTCACCTGCAGTCCGGGGATAAGAGCCAGGGGCTCCTGAGCCCGACATTTTACGGGGGGTGAGGAAATCAGTAACAATCGCCCACACCCCTCTAAATGTACAACCCACCGTCCAAGACCGCAAGGAGGGGCGGACACGGGCGCACCCAAATAGTTTCTCGAGAAGGAAGCGCCAGGTGCAGAACCAGCGCTCGGGCCCTCTAGTCCAGGCAGGTGAAGTAAAACCGAAAGCCAGGAGGCGGCGGCGGGGCTTGCGCGGCCCGCGTCCTACCTGCGTCCTCGGGACCGAACCCCGCGCCGCCTCTGCCCGCTGGGCCCCCCACGGCCCGCAAGGGCGCCCCTTGAAAGGGCGAACCCCAGAGCGCCCGGAGCAGGCGCGCCATGACGCCGCACGCGGGGGCCCCTCAGCGCCGACGCAGGCCGTCCCCGCGCGCCCCGCCTCCCTCCGTCGCGCGCCCCGCCTCCCTCCGTCGCGCGCCCCGCCTCCCTCCGTCGCGCGCCCCGCCTCTCTCCGTCGCGCGCCGGGCTCCTACCATTGCCTGTCCTCCTCCTGCTTCTCTTCTCCCACTGCTTCTGGCACCCGTGCCACCACCCTCGCAAGTCCTGCCACCACCCAACTCCCCACCCAGTACCTCCTCCTACTTATCTCCCGCGCCTACCCCTACCGGCCTCCCCTTGACCCTCCCTAGCCCCCTTCTCCCTTGCCCATCTGATTGCTCCGGCGTGCCCACCGCCTCCTCATGCTTCTCCCCCGGCCCTTCCCTCCACCACCCTGCCCCACTCCATTTCCCACCACCCCAGCCCAAACACTGATCTGTTTTACTTTGTTTGCAGAATTGTATGTATCGTGGAACTACAGATTATTTTGCATTTTCTTGAGTTGCATATAAATGGAATCCTTGTTCATGCTGAGTAGTATCCCATTTATGGATATACCACAATATATTTAGTCATCTATTGATAGACATGTATATTATTTACAATTTTTCCTTATTAGAAATAAAGCTGCTAGGAACATTCCTGTACAAATCTTTGTATGCATATGTGCTTCCTTTTCTCTTGGGTAAATAATATTATCAAAGATGTCACAGCACTGCAATGTTAAGTGATCAACCTCATTTTGGATGATTCCAGTGATGTAATTTTTCCAGTGTTTTGCATGCCATGTCATAAGATTGTATGTATAGAATTCATATTAAAATAATGTGATTACTTTAAGCATGCTGTGTGCTTGGGATCCAAGTGGCAGAGATCACTCACCAAGGCCATGCGTTTTGTTTAGAGCTGGAAGGTGCGGGCAAGATCATCTGGCCACCTACCTTAAATCGTCCATGGTGAAAATGGGGCCAGTGTAGCTAGTGCTTTATCAATATCACACAACCAACCAGTATGTAGGAATCAGGATCGGAAGTGTGGCTTCCCAAAGCCAGGACAGCACTATTTTTTATAGAGATAAATGGAAGTGTCACCAAACAGAAGACAAGAGAAGTTAGAAGGATGTTCTTGAGATTTTTCTTGATAGAGATACACACACACACACACACACAGAGCCCTCTCTCAGTGCCAAAAATTCCTAATTCTTAACACTTTCCACTTGAAAGGTACTATACAATATATCATCTGGAAGGTACATTTAGCACCAAGCATCTCCCATCCTCCAATCTATACCTGTGGAACTTGCGTGTGCCGTTTAGTGTGTGCTTTACTCTAAATGCAGCGTTTTGTATCCTCTTCTGAGATTGCTCTTGCCATTCCCCCTTCCTCTCTTTTGAATTTTGATAGAGGAGGCTTCCAATAAAGTTATGCCTCTTTTTTAGCTTTTGATGCACAATATCAATTCAGAAATGGTAGCAAAACCAATAAACCATACAACAGCATTTGAAGCTTTTTTTTTTTTTTTTTAATCTTCCCTAGCCCAATACTGTAAGCTTCAGCCTTGTTCATTCTCCTTCCACAATGTATAGTGTTTAGCTCACTGTTGGGAACCTCCTAGGTAGATCTTCAAAAATTACAATAAATAAAAAAGAATGAATCCAGAATTTATAGATAAAGATATAGATCTATACACACACATATATGCTGGATCAGAAAATATAGTTAGATTGCATTTTTAAATTTTTTATTCATCTAATTTTATTAAAAATTTTGTTTAGAGCTTTTGCATCCATGTTCATGAGGGATAGCGGTCTGTAGTATTCTTTTCTTCTAATGTCTGAGTGGTTTCATATTTGATTCAGATCCAGGCAGGTTAAGTAGCTTGTCCACGGTCACATGGCTAGTTGGTTGAAGAGTTTGTAGAGTCCCCCTAAGGTTTCAGTTTTAGAAACTGTCAAGAAATAGCAGAAGTGTATCCCACTCATCTTCCTCCCTCCAGTCCCAATAAATAAACTTATTCTCCAGAAATAAATTTAACCTTGTGACATTGTGAAAAAACATGGAGTCTGGCCTAAGACCCAGTTCAGGGTATCTTACATTTTAAGATGCATGACCTTGGCCAAATATTCAGTTTCTTTATCTCTAAACTGGGGTTATTGCCCACCACCATTTGTCTAAGTCCAACTTAACCATGAAGACCATGTGCCGATCTCTCATTAGCAAATGGTCTTAGTCTAAAGAAAACCCTTGTTTATGTTTTACCACGGATGCTGAGTGTTGGGGCCTATAAGCTACTTGGTCAATATCCATTCTCCCGTCTTTATTTACAGACAGATCTTTGATTTTATTGAGGGTGGCAGTGTGCCTAGCTAAAAATGTTTCACCCACCAGCTCCCTTATTGCTAGTGGTGGTCATTTGACACAGTTCTGGACAATGACAAAAGCAGACATCACCTAGAGGCTTCCAGGAAAACCAGTTTGGGAAGATCTGACTTGGTTAGTACTGGCTTATTGGTCTTCCTTCGCCCTGGAAATTAGTCATGACGGCTAGAGCATTAGCAATCTTCTGATATACATGATTATGAGCCCCACACCCTGATATCAAAGTGGAAGTCAGGAAGTTGGCCTGGGTCCCTGATGACACTGTGTAACCAATGTAATGGATTGCCTATCTTCAGATTTCTCATTACATGGACAAGTCCATATTTTCTTTAAACCACTGTTATTTGGGATTTTCTATTGTTTGAAACTGATACTCTATATCTAATGTTTTGAATTTGATTGTGAGAATCTCTTAGAAAGGCAAGATTCTGTAACTTTACCTCTTTGTGTACCTAACATACTTCCCCGCAGATTGTGGTACATAAGAAACTATTGTCCATAATAAAATCCTTAAAAAGATAAGAGTGACCCAGAAAATGGGAGATCAAAAAAAAAGCCGGTTTCCTTTTCCCTACCAAAAAAAAAAAAAAAAAAAAAAATGAGAATAAGCTGTGTGCATTTTCTCTCCACTGAAGAAACCATACACCTAAAGTTCAGTATCAAAGCCCATACTTTCTATGGCAATCTAGAAAAGTCCTAGAAATGAACCAACTGGGATATACCTAACTAACATCTGTAAACATTTTATTTTCTTTAAGATTTATTCTTTTGAGAAAGAGAGAGAGAGTGTGTGTGGGGGGAGGGGCAGAGGGAAAGAATCTCAAGCAGACTCCCCACTGTGCTTGGAGCCCACTGGTGTCCTGTCATGGGCCTGTCACAGGCCCATCCCAGGGCTTGATCCCATTACCCCAAGGTCATGACCTGACCTGAAATCAAGAGTCGGACGCTCAACCAACTGAGCCACCCGGGCATCCACATCTGTAAACGTTCTAAAGCATTAAAAGAAGTGAATGAAGACTTGAGTAAATGGTGTGATAGAAAAAGTGCCAGATGAAATAGGTCTTATTTTCAGCTATTCCCTAACCAGATATAGGTTTGGGGGCCTTGGTGATCATCTGTAAAATGGGGTAAGTGCAGAGCAGGATGGCCTAGAACTAGAAATTAAATGATATCTGAATTCTCTTAAGTCTGTAATCATATGACTTCTGGTGAAAAATGGGAATACACTTTCCCGCTGACCAGAGAGCTGGAATGGTGAAGATTAAAATAATATTTAAGTTAACTTATAGATTTAAGCAATATCATTTATAATTCCAGTGGGTTACTTTGTCAAAATTGACAAAACAACTCAAATAAGTGCGGAGAAAAAGAATACTTTTGTAATAAAAGTAATACTGGCTACACCATATACTTAAGTTCCTCGTTAGGAAACAGTATTTATCAAAAATGGGCTAACCAAAAATTAGGCCTGGGAGGCAAATAGAGATTCCCCAAATCAATATATATTTAATCTATTATAAACAATGGGAGATAAAATCCTTCAATATGTGTTCTGGGGGAAGGTTACTATCAAGACAGGAAAATAAGCGTAGAGTCTAAGGCTTAGAATGATAACTTACTTCAACCAAAAGTAGTAATTTTTGAGTTAAATTTAGTGTCATATATATGTGTGTGTACATATATACCTATGAACTAAAACAAGGCTACACATAACCATTTGGAAAGAAAAGGATTTTCGGGCAACGGAAGCAGCTAAAGGAATTACCAATGAACAGAGATGCAGAGATGGACAGGTTCGGTGCAGGAAGGTTAAAATGCATACATGCTGACCACAAAATACAGAACAAAAAATGATTAGTCCCTGTCCAGAGACACAGAACCAATGGGAGATGTATATAATATAGAGAAATTTATTATAAGGGGTTGGCACACATGATTATGGAGATTGAGAAGTCTACAAGCAGGAGACCCAGGAAGCTGGGTTGTAGTTCAAGTCCTGAGAGATGGAGTGTTCAGAAGCAGGAGTGCTGAGGTCAGTAGGAGACGGATGACCCAGTTCAAGGAGTCAGGCAGAGAGCAATTCAACCTTCCTCTGCCTTCAGTGATTGGATGCTGGTCCACGCTGGGGAGGGCCACTGGCTTTACTCAGTCCACCAATTCAAACATGAATCTCTTCTAGAATCGCCCGCACAGACACACCCAGAAATAATATTCAACTAGTTATCTGGGTATCCTGTGGCCCAGTCAAATTGACACATAAAATGAACCATCACAGTCCCAAATTGGAAAAGTAAAAAAGGAAAACAGCAGGGGAGCATTGTATTAACCTATAAACATTTACTGTTATAATATAAGGGAAATTAATATTATCTATATGGGCAAACTCAGATATGACTGGACAGATGGTAAAAGGGTATAAACAGATGGTTTACACAAGGGAAAATACAAATAATGAACAAATGCTGGGAAAAATGTTTAACTTCCCTAATAATTAAAGAATTGCAAATTAAAATAGCCCAATATACGGTTTTATATGTATTAAATTATTAATAACAATTTTTTAAACCAGAGTTAATAGTGCTTTGGGGACTCAAGTATACTCATAGATTAATTGTAGAAATGGTAGCATCGTTTTTCTAGAAAGAAATCTGACAACATGTACCAAAGT